AACAATACTATGACGTAGTGTCGGCCATCATTCTTTTCCAATTGTTGCTGTTGTCGGCCATCATTCTTTTCTAATTGTTGCTGTTGTCGGCCATCATTCTTTTCTAATTGTTGCAATTGTCGGCCATCATTCTTTACCAATTGTTGCTGTTGTCGGCCATCATTCTTTTCTAATTGTTGCTGTTGTCGGCCATCATTCTTTTCTAATTGTTGCCATTGTCGGCCATCACACTTATCAACACTTCCAACAGTTTTAATAATAATAACATTAACCTTTTTAACAAAAAAAAGGAATTAATTTAAATAAAACAAAGAAAATATTCATAGTACATTTATTCAAGGATAATACGATTATACATTCACTAAAAAATCAAGTGGGAAACGCAAATTAACAGTATATTCTTCTAACTACAAGTGAAATTCAATTCTCACATTTCACAGAATGTCAGTAATAGTAATTCAAGGACCAACCACTAATTTGTTTGTCCGACAAGGAAAATCGTTATAAAATACATTAATTCAGGGCATTAAACTACAACTATTTTATTAACTCAATAAGCATAAATTATTTCATACGCTCTCATTTATCTCACTTTGAAGCACCTTCTGTGCTAGTTTGATTATCACCACCCTCTGTCTTGACCATTTTACCAGTATCACCTGAGAAAAAAAAATATTTTAACGGACCAAATATAAGACAAATCTTAACTGCCCCTTTTTAAGGGCAAAAAACAAATTACTTACTTTCAGAATCTGCTTGTTCCCCACCAGAACGACGCCTCTTTCTTGCAGACCTATCTCGGCGGAACACTTTCTGTTGGGCGGGAAGTGGGTCCATACCTAATACCTATAACATAGAAAAACAGCAAAAATTAATAATAAACTATTTCTTAGACACCGCTCCTAGATCGTACTTTGTATATCTGCCTATAGGCAATGAGTCTCAGGGCATATTGGGCGGAACATGTGAGATCCTCCCTTTGCTGGGCAGTCAAGTACGCCACTGCGTCTGGATTATCCTTTTCACAGGGATCTCCCAATCCGGGACCTCCGGGAAGCAATATACCTCCCGCTACGGCCTCCATAACTCTCCTCAACGCGTCCCCAGGAGACAACTGAATACCTCCAGGCACTGACGAAATTACTTTTTCCGCTAACAGTTCCATTCCCTAAACAAAAGAAAATAAAACATTGTTATAACATAAGAAGACACAATGTTACAACAAAAGAGAAAAAAACAGAGTTATAACAAAAGAAGACACAAACAGAGTTATAACAAAAGAAGACACAACAATGTTACAACAGAAGAAAATAAATGGAAGTTAAAACAAAGTCAAATTGTACGAACCCAGGATGTCAAAGGGGACCATGTAGGTACTCTGTGACATAAGTCTCTCAGTATCCTTATTATGATGACGCAAGAATGAAGACCCAGAGCCCTAGCCTGCAAACACAACATCTTATTGATCTTGCAAAAGGTTTTTTAATATAATAAGATAGCATTAATGAACGAGGATCTCTCGGTGAATCCCCCTTCAATGTATGATCGCATAGTATTGTAATTGATAAAAATAATCGGGATAATTCATTACCCTAACCTGATCGATGTGAACTTATCTCTACCGTTGTTTTTATTATTATTAGATAATACTAATAAAAATTTAATTTATAAAATTGATTTTGACTGTTGATAAGAATAAGAAATAAATAGGAATAGAAACAAACGATAGTGACTGATGTAGGTATAAGTGTTTCTATTCCCAAAAACAAAAAAAAGTAAATTAAAACGTGATAAAAATCACATCCTCAGATTTTGTACAAAGTTATAAAATGCAATATTTACAGGGTGGCTCGTTTCGAAGTTGCAAGCATATGCTTTCTCAACAATAAAAACAAATTACTACCCGATGCAAGAAACAATAAAGCAAGTTTTTGTTTTAAAAATGTTACGTTGCGTTGTTCCGTTTTATAAATCGAAACGGGGCACACTCTGCATTTACCAAACAAAAAAAAAAACAAAAACAAAATAAAAAACGGTGTGTGGTAATAAACAACCGCGAAACGCGTAAAAGTGTAAGTCGAGTAATCATCTGCGTCTGTCTCGTCGAATTGCTAACACATAACAATAATTTTATGATAAATAGATGTGAGAGAGCTCGCACGGCCGCGCGGTGTGAGAATATAAGCACAAACCTGGAACCATTTGGTATGTCTGAGGGCTGCCAGCGCCTGGAGACACTTGCCACGTGCCAGTACATCCCGGTCCGACCCGCCGCTCGCAGCTTCTAGACACAAGAAAGGGTGTTTGACCATCGCGCTCACCGCAGCTGCTCGCCACCACCCCCCACACACGACGACGAGGGGGCAATGATGGGGGGAGGAGGCCCGCAGCAGACGCGGCGGCCGGTTGGTCAAAAATCCTTAATCCCACACCACCTAGAATCAGCTCTTGACAAGCATAACAAACAGCACAGTACAATTTTTTCTTTTTTTTTTTTTGATAAGTATTGGACCCAAAACCACGGTCTGGTTTCTTAATTACATATTCTTATTATTTATCTTATTTTTTTTTGTTATTTGAGGTTCTCTTTTCTTTTCTATTGGGTACTTATTGGTCGATTATTATTCACATTTACTTTTATCAATGCCTAATAAGTTATCAGTACAAAAAAAAATAGAGGTTTCCACTTTCAAAAATAATACTTCAAAATAACGAACGAAATTCAAAATATATAATAAGAAAATATTAGAAATAATTTGCCATTAGTTTCCTATTATTGCTTTCATTTTGCTATTTTAAAGTATTATTTTTGCCTAAGGGGTAAACCCTATTATTTAACAAGTCTCTTAGTGCATTTCACTGAATTCGTAACAAATAATCAGAAAAATGCACATACAAAAAAAGACAAATGCAACAGGCCCACTGTTGAAGACAAAATAGAAACAGTAGGTTCATTCATTTGTCTTTATGAGGCAAAAAAATTACTAATAGGCGATGGAAAACTGACTTTTGACAAATGAATTGTTAAACAAAATAAAGTAAAATATGTTCAGTCAATTTTGCATCGCAAACAGAATCAAACCGTTTTCGAAAATAAAAGAGCAAAACCATCATCCATGGAATACGATATAGTCATATGGCAATATAATGATCAATTAAATCAATAATCAAAACAAAAATATTGTGTGTAGTTGTTACCAGACTTCAGAGAAGATCTGAAAAAGTCCAATATTTATTAGGATCAAGGTTTAAGCTGCAAAAAAGTCGCTCTGCACGAGACATACGGCCAGTCCACCTCCATCATCACCATAACAAAAAAAAAATGTACAATAACATATTATAGAATGTGCAATCCTTAAAAAAATTATTATATTATTACTTGTCAAAAACCTAGCAAGAGCAAGAATAAAAAGGAATAGGTATATAAAAGAGAAATACGATTAGATAAATGAATAAAAACAGCTTAAACCCTGCACTTTAAAGTACTGTACTACTCACTACTATACTGTGTTGGGCAGAAATATATTTTTTTCTTCGAATTTCAATCCAAAAACTTTACCAAAGATAGAAAAGACGTAGGTAACATAATTGAAAGTTTAAATCGTTAAGAACAATTGATAAACAAAATAATCAAACAATATCATTTGGAAAGAATCGTTTTCTACTAGTCCAAAAATCAATTATTGCCCAACACTACCTTTATAGGTATGATACCGCGTCGCACGCCACACGCGCGCATCGATATCTCTTTATCGGGGTCGCGATGGGGATGCCGGGCGCCGCGACGAGGCGCCGTCTTACCTTGTTCCCGCATTACTGGACTGGTCAATTGGACGAGCACAGTCAGTCCATCGCCAGTAACTGTCAGGCCTGCGTCCGGGGCGTTTATCGTCACGTTGTACGAGTTCTCTGCAGCCACCTGTTTGAGCGCGGCAGGCAACAGCTCCACCACCTTCCGTAGCAACGTCAGCGTCGGTTTCTCGGCGCACAACACGACCAACTCGACATTGGCGTCGCCTCTGAGCAACAAACCTTTGGCCAGGTGCCCCACACGCATCACCCCCTTGAGGATCCTGTTTGCGTCGCGATCCTGCTGGAACGAGAATCTAACAGGGAAAGAAATTAATTAATAATGAGTCAACTGCCCCCCTCGTATCTCTCAACGCTTACAATTGATTGTCTCTGCCGTCTTCTTTTTGTTCTTGGTTGGAAGCGGGGCCTGCGCTAACGATCTTGTCTGCTTCCGGTTTCACGTCGGTTTTGTTGGCCGCTGCTGCGGGGGTTCCGGTGGCGGCTGTCGCGGGGGTTTGCTGTCCATTTTGGTTTTCTTTAGGCGATTTGGTGGTGTCGGCCAGCTGGTCAGAGACGATTTTAAGGGCGCGTTCGGTATGAGACACGATTCTCTGTATAGATTGCAGTTCCTCCTCTTTCGGATAGATCTCTGAATGACGAGCCATCACGTGACGATCGTCGCTCGATTCGGCACGACGAGCCATCGGCGGTCCCTGGAAGTACTAGAAAAAGATAAATATCGTTCATCCTTTATTGTCGTCACCATTGACACTTTTAAAGTCCTGTATAATTCAATGGTAATTCTGTAATTTGTTTTAACTCACAGGAAGGGGTGCGCTGCCCGGGAACGGCGGCCTCGGTCTTGGGAATGGTCCCATGTTCCCCCTTCGACACCACTCCATGTAATCTTCCTCGTATCTTCGCCGCTCCTCCCAGTACATGCGTTCTTCTTCGTCTTCTGCAGCCATATGCCTGCGTTGCCAGTATTCTTCTCTTAAGGCCTGCAAATTATTTTATTACATAAAAATTAAGCATTTTCTCCAATATCCACATCTTTCAAGCTAAACAAAACCCTTTCATCCCCTAATTAAACCAATTAATAATAATTATAAAGGTGATGTAGGAGCTAGCAAAACTCGTCACTGCAACGGTACAGTTTTCGAGGTGAAGTAGCTCTTTAAATACATGCTATACGATGGCACTAAAATTTCGAAAATCATGGTCTTTGTTTAACGAAAGGAACTACCATCGATTAATAGCTATTGCAAAGTAAGACTTCAAACTTACAGCACGCCTCATTTTCTCTTCCTGTATCTTCCTCTGGCGTATGGACGGCTTTACATCGACAATCAGGTCCGGGTTAACCTTCTTTTTGTATTGCAAACGGTGACGACGGCCCTTCATATGCATCTCCTTGGCGTTAGGGTCGTTAAAGCGACATTCACACAGCTTACAATTAAAACTAATAATCTACAACAAAAACGAGGAGACGCGAATTTAGCAGGGCATGAAAGCGGAAAATATAATTTTCATATTTCACCTTTCCATCATCACTTTTAATTTCTTCAATATAATCTTGGCCGACAGGTTGTATGTCAGGCTCATTGGAACCGGAAACGTCGTCAACAACTTGAGCATCCTCACCCTCTTTACTCTCGCCGTTATTCATACCTAAACCGCCTCCTTGCACGAAATTGATTTTAGCAGTGCCGGTGGTAGTTTTGCGAGGTCCCCCTATTACTTCGGGCTCCTGCGGCGGAATCGGTTTACCCAATTTAGTGTGAAGTAAGACAACTTTTTGATGTTTCGCCCCCCGGATATGGGCAGCGTAAGCGTCGTTACCTGTAATGAAATATTCACGTACAATAAGTCCCCTACTATTTCATTTAATTAATTGAGAATGTTAGAAAAATGTTGAACTTTTATGATCAATGATACTTATTATTTACAAATATCAATAAAAAATGTTCTAAAGTTCAGTATTTTAGCAAGGTGTCTGAACAAAATCGTCATAGGGGTCGATTCTGAAATTCTCCTTGCAAAGTAGACAGATAAACATTTGTTGAAGGAAGAAGGACTTTAAATTTGCTAATCAATCCAATAGAAAAAAAAAACAATGGCTTTGATCTTACCTGTACAGGTGACATCACACAACTGACAACGTAAGGAGTTCCCAGCACGATTTTGGTTAGTGACTGCTGCAGATGCTGCCATTTTGGTGGCAGCTTCGCGTTTCTTATGCTTCTGTCCCTCTAAATGCTCTCTGTATGTCTGAGGCCCAGCACAGCTGCATGACAAGTGACAAGACATAAAATAAATGAACAATCCACTGGGAAGGCAATGACAAACCTACCTAATCTTACAAACTTCACAATAGTGTAACTGTTGTGGCTTTGGGGGTGCTTTAGTGCGCATGTTCTTAGCTCCTATACCCTTCTTATACCCTTGCCATCCGCCGGGTTTCTGTTGAGCTGCATTGCCTGACTGCTGCGCCACATACATCGTGGCTGCAGAGTACAAGGCGGCGTCGTATCCGGAGTACGTGGTGTTAGAATTTGCTTCTGAAATATAAAACTTTAATAACGTTTCCTTTACAGTTTCCAGAATGCCGCCATTCTGGCATGTCGTGAAACATACTTTAATAACTTTGATCAAAGAAACAAACTTACGCGTAGTACGTTTAGCTTGTGTAGCTGGCTGAGCAGCTACTGTAGTCTGGACTGCTGCTGGTTGAGCGTAAGTGGCCTGATAAACTGTAGCGTTGGCCTGGTATGTGGCACTGTACTGTGTAGGTTTTGCTGCAGCTACAGTCTAAATAAACGAAAACAATGGCAAACTTGCAAAAAATAGCTATTAAGTGGGCACAACTTACTGCTTGACTTTGGGGTTGTGCAGTAGCAGCAGCTCTTTGAGTGTACGTAGCAGCGTAGGTTGCAGGCTTAGCAGCCGCTGAAGTTTGATCATATCCAGAAGTGTATCCGGCTGCAGCAGCGGTTTGCCCAGTAGCGGCTTGCTGATAGTAGGTTTTGCTAGCGTCAGCGTACCCTGTAGTAGCTGCGGCCCGACCGTATCCGTATTCGTATGCAGGGGTGGTTCCAGTTCCCACCGCTGCATACGTAGCTGCAGGGGTAGCAGCGGCTGCCTGATAGGCAGTATCGTAGCCCGCTGCTCTTTGCGTTCCGTAAGTAGCGGCAGCTGCTGTAACCGGCGCAGCTACTGCATAACCCGCTTGGCCAGCTTGGTATGCCGCTCCCGTTGCCGCAGCCGCGCTGAAAATATCAATCACGCGGTTACTAGTAACATTTAATTATTGGAGTTTTAACTAACGAGTGGAACAGAAATCGGTATGTTACAATCAATGTAAAACTATGTTTGCAATCTTTAATCGGATTTTGATTAGAAATTAATGTAAATTCATACGATAGCGACATCCAACTAATCGGCCAGTTATAGTATTGATCCAATATGCCGGCGCCATTAATTCAAGGACGCCGGTCATACAATCAAACAAAACCACAAAATAATAACCCATTATTCTACTAATATTTACCTTGCACCACGAACCCTTCTGTTCTAACACACCTTAAGATACCCTTGGTACTCACCTATACTGTGTTCCACCGTGTGTAAAACCAAAATAATTATTTGTCGCCATAATTATAACACGCACACGTTTATTGACAGTCCATGTAGATCAACACTACAGCAGCGCCAACTTGACAATTCTATTAGAGAAACATTACCGGAAACCTGACCGCAAAAAATCGCAAAGGTACTATTTTTTACACGGCTTAATTGGCATTTTAAAAATAGCAATGTTAATAGTGTCTATTAAATGCTTCATTTTAATTATTGATGATTTTCAACTAATAATTAATATTTTGTAAAAAAAGTCAAACAGATGGAGCCACGGAGAGGACATAGAGTTTGAAAACCATAGAATCTTTGGGGTTCTTAACCTAGAAAAAAATTGCCGTACATAACCTCATTTTTTCTTAACTCACTTCCTATTTTTCAGTTAATTTTGCAAAATGAACTTTTAAAAACATTTTCATCTATAAAACGAGACAGTGTAACAGCAAAGGATCTACGATAAGATTAAAGCATAGTTAGAAATTAGTCATTCCAGCTATGGTAACCTTATTAATTAGAAATGATGTTTATTGTAATTTCTAAATAATTTTGTTTTAGTCTGCGATATTCAACTTCCAGAGCCTTTTAACAGTTATTTTATTGTTAATATGCACGTGTGCTTATTTACGATCCCTATTTCCTTCAATAATGGACCGTAACAAGAAAGGGTAAGTCTGTCTTGTTTTGCATTTGTTGATAATTAAAACAACTTCTTTTCAGAATCATGGGGACATTTTGGAAATGTGCAAGAATAGGTGAAAGAAAATCCCCCTGGATAGCTGCCTCCTGCCTTATAATGGCATTTTCTATATTATTTTT